ATATAATTTAATGTCAATCCTTTTTATGTTTCTTAATTAAATATACCCAGTCATCCTCTATGCATTTAATTATTTACAAGATATTTTCTGTGAACAAAAAAATTGCAAGCAACCATTTTCTTTATTCTCTCTTTTTTCTCCTTGTTTTCTTGAGACTGGTTCTATTTAGTGCCGGTCTAGAATTCACTATGTACTAGGCTGACTTTGAATTTGTGTGGATATCACAGATATACACCTGCCTTTGCTTTATGAGCGCTTGTATTAAAGGTATGGGCCTTCATGCCAAAGTTTATTCTGGAACAAATAGAAGTATATTTAAATTTTAAGTAATTGAAAAACATTTTGACATATTAATTTCCAAATAAAAACCATTTTGTACTTGGATAATAATTCTTCATGTGTGTATTGCTTACATATTTTCTACTGCTGTTATATTTAAACCTCACTCACATTTGACCACGACCTGAAAAGCACATAAACACAGTTAAGCGAAAGATCTAGAATTCTAGGTGTGACGTAGGCAGGTCAAATTGCTACTTTGGCTGAATACTGAGTCAACTACTATCTTGAGCACATTCCTATCTCATCAAAAAGCCATTATTATATTTTATTTTAAAAGATTTCATTTTTTTTTTACTCTAAGCATACTTACCCTAAGCATAGCTGGTTCTACCAGACATTATTCAAGATAGTGCAGTCTAAATTCCATTATGTTACGTTTGTTTGTTCAGATTGTTCATTGAAATCTTACATCTAAAATAACTTACACACTTACAGAACAAGTGACGTGGAGTGAAATAAAACATTTGCCACACTTTTCTGTCCATATACAGGAGTAGTACCTTCCAAGACTTTCACAGAATGTTTGAAACTGTGGGTAGCACCAAGACCTCTAATTTGATGCCTTCCACAGCTGAACTATGCACTTCTCATTCAGTGCTCGAAGTTTTGCTGCATGAGCTGTGATAGAGAGATTACTTATCAGGGTTTCATAGATAGAACATGCATTTTCATAGTAAATCTCAGCAACTTGAAAACCTATATGATTTTTACAGCTCACTCGTACAAACTTCAGCTTTTTTCCTTACAGGAGACTACTCGGCATTTCTGTCAGGGTACTTGAATCACCAACATCCCTTCTCTTGAATGTTAGGTCCATTAATAATTAAAATAAAGGGTATAGAAAACGCAAGTACTAAGATTTCTAAACAAGTCTGATACTGAGAAGGATGAAGTGAATGGGGAGGGTAGAATAGGTGTGGATGGTCTGTAGATACTCTTGGCAAAAGTTTGGTTCACATCCCAGTAGGGTGAAATAAAAAGTTGTGAAATATTATCATATCTTCAGATGCTAAACAATTCAAAATTTACTATTTCTTTCTGGGGTTCCCTATTTATTATTTCTTCTGGAATACAGTTAAACTCAAGTTACTAAAAGTAAGGAAAGGGAAATTTTGAATAAAGTCAAAGTCACCCTGTGAAAATATTGTGGTCTGAAAGTAAATTTTATCTAAAAACATATAGAAATGGAAAGTTCTTGCCCACTTTCTTCTTGCTAACAAGTAGGCGATGGCATCAGTTCATTACACAACACTGCTCAATGCAGCTATTCATTTAGAGGCATATTGCTCACATGCTAGAGTTTGATAATCAATATATCTGAGATTGATTCACAAGTTCATTATTTTTATTTGATTTCAGTTACCTGCTGTCACTCCTTCTACAGACAAACCATGTACATATTTAGAGATGTTAATTTAGCACCTATTTTACATTAAAATTCAGTATTATCATACTATTTGTAGCTTAATGTTTAAAATTTCAAAGAGTTCATGTTAAAATTATGTGATATATTATATAACTTTGGCAAGAAAGTTCTACAAATCTATTCTGTCAAAATTATAAAGTGCTATTTCTGATATTTATACACATTTTTCTATAGTTCAGAAGTTATAATTTAAAGTAGCCAGAGGAATTTGTGTTAAATCATGGGGATAAATAAATTATGTCATATTTTTGAAGACATAATGAGAACATCATCCATCATTGTACAGTAATCCCATTTGGATTTCATGTGATTACTATTCATGGGCAATCAATCAAAAAACCAAAAGCTTAATGCAAGATGAACTGAAAAACTGATAATGAAAGTATTAAAATTATTTTACCTGAAATAAAGAGTAGTTGAGACTGATGACTTGGGGCTTATACTATCCAAAAAATGCTTCTCTACTTTTGTCTCAGTCTGATTCTAGGTTTCCAGCATAGGAGCACCTCAGATATCATATGATATCAGAGTTGCCCCTTAGAACGGATGTCCTGTAGATACCAAAGTCTGAAATGCTGGATATATATATTATAGAGAGAAACAGATGAGTGTATATATATGTATATATGTGTATATATCTATATATCTATATCTACTATATATATATAATCATTGAGAGTAACAGTTAATGTTCTGTTAATATTACACAAACGGTTATTAGTCTATATTTTTAGTGGCAAATGCTTTGAAATAAGTCTGTACATGCTCAGCAAAACCAATTTTATCCCAAAATATTTTATTATAGTTGGTTGACTCCATGGATATGAACTCCTAGGTCATGATACCCACGGTTTTGGAAGGTAGAGCATTCATTTCCCATCACTGGTTGATTTGAGACAAATTCGGCCTGTGTTTAAATGGTGGGTCTCAAAAAGAATAGTTTTCACGTTCAATAATTAGTGAAAACTATTATGAGGGATGCAATTTCTGTTGATGATGTGGTATCAGCAAGAACATTGACCACAGAAGCCACTGAGGTTTTAGCCTGCAATTGTTCAGTTCCATTCCTTCTCTTTTATCAGTGGGGAACTGGTGTGGGAAGTCCTTCTGTCTATGTGTTGCTTTTATTGGTTAATGAATAAAGAAAGTGCTTTGGGGCCTATAGCAGGGCAGAACAGAGCTAGGCAGGGAAAATTAAAAGCAGTGATTTAATTAATATAGTTTTTTTTGTATGCTTATTTCAAGCCAGGAACAAACAAGCAGCCTTCTACAACAGGAAATGTTTTTGTGGCTTCATGTTTCTTACTTAACTATAGATTTTCTACGTAGATATTGGTGTTTGTGCTTGTAATTCCGGCATTAGCAAGGCTGAGGCAGAAGGATTGCTCATGAGTTCAAGGCTAAGCTGTGCTACCCAGTGAATTTTAGGTCACTAAGGACTACAGATGAAAACCCTGTCCAACAACAAAAAAAGTTAATAAATAAGTCAAATTTCTGCACAAGCTAGGCTTTGCTTTCCCCAAATTTCTTCATTATGTGCATTTTAGTTTTCATATGTCCTGTGAACAATAAAAGTAGGAAAAAAGTAAAAAATAATTCTATACAAAACCAGCTCAGAAATAAGAGCAATTTTCACTTGAAAATTACTATAATGATTATACAATAATAGTGTCCCTTGCTTGATGCAAATTTGACTAGAGTTGGAAAAATTCAGCTGAAAAAACTATTTTAAATAAGAGTTAAACTTTCTCAAAAAATTAGAGAGACTATACTACAATAAAATTATGATAACTCATGATATACTTTTGAAGAGATTCTAAATGAAGATTTGTTTAACTTTTATGAAATTAAAAAGAAACCAAAAAGATAAACTTATTGCTTCTATTTGGGTATATTTCTATCAACAAATAGTTTTTATCAAGAAAATCCATGCTTGTATTCAATTAACATATAAGTATCTTTTCTAAATCTTATTTCCATTTGTTCTACGATTTTATTATTTTTCTAAAGAACCATAATTCATTCATTTCTATGATAATACTGAATTTATTCTACTTCTTTCTAGAATAAGTCTGAAAACTGGGTCTATGCCTAGGCTTTCTTTCAATAAATAAACTTTGATTTTCTGGATTTCCCAGGGATCCTCGAGACAAGTGAATTCGATCTCAAGTTAAATGAAAGAGGAAAATCTGGGGAAAGCCACAACAAAGTAATAGTAATTTGATGAAAAAATAAAATATATATGGTAATACTATTAATTTCATTGGTCATTAAATAGCGGTCACGCACAATGTAAATACAGGATTTCACTTGTCTAACTTAGTATCAAATTGTTCTTGCTTTTCTTGGGTATGTTCTACAGAGACCGTAAGACGTGTGTAAATACCGCTATAAAATAAACTCCGTGACAGATACAGTGAAGTTGTATTGAGGTTCACTTGGGTAAACAAGCTTTGTCACAACAAAATCCAAATCCAAATTAAAATATCCATTCACAAAGATTAACAGCACGTTACTTTCACCTTAATTGGGAAGTTTAGCCATTGTTTACCTTTCTTTCTTAAATTTCTTTCTCCAAGGTTGAGAATAGCATACATATGTAAATACATTAGGAAATACTCAGATGTAGCTTAGACAGAAGATCAAATTAGAATACAGTCAATAGCGTTTCAAACTCTAATTTGCATTGTCCGTAGAGGGAATCTGGAGAAATGCTATCACTGCCGTCTTAGGACATAGGCTGGGCTTCCCACACCAGAGTTTGCACTTGCTCTAGAGATGCCCAGAGCTGCTCTGTTCTTTGTGGTTTCAGTGCCAAGGTTAGGAACCTGTGTTTTCATCAGCTGCCCATCAAAGCTCATTATCAGGCCATGGTAAATGGAGTACTGCCACCCTTCCTGCGTCATCCATTTCCCTGCAGACCACCCTGCATATTCAGTGGTGCTTCAACTGTAGTGGCTTGCATTATTCTTGCCCATAAAATGAATTAACTTACACTGAATATTTAACAAAATACTTGAGACAGTTTCACTATGTCCTTGAAAGCAGTGTGTGGTAGAATTTCTGAGACTATAGCAACTGTGTCATGTGACCACCGAAGCAGTCAGGCTTCAGTTCTCAACTTGAAGGACCTAAGCCAAAGTAACTCAAGGTATAGGGTATATCTAGAGGAGCATGGAATGGGAGAAAGCAGGAGAGCAGGAATGAAGGATCTGCAGCATGTCCTCTATACCTTGAGGCAGCGACTGGACAGGGAGGGCCGCTTGGCCTGGTGGGATGGAGATGAGGCCCTGTCGCTGAAGGCTGAGCAGATGCTGCTGCTGCTGCAGTTGCTGCATTTGGAGAAGCTGCTGCTGGAAGACAAGCTGCTGGGCGGCCAACTGCTGCTGTTGCTGCTGCTGCTGCTGCTGCTGCTGCTGCTGCTGTTGCTGTGGGTGTCAGAAAACCCGACCCAGTCAACAGCAGAGAATAAAGTGCGCGTAAACCACTCACACACAGAAAGGCATGCTCCTTTCCTCGCCCAGACGTCTTCTTGAGCATCCCAGGGTCAAAGTCCAGAAGCCAAATGCGAGCAGCTTCTAGGTATTCAGCTGCCTGCTTCTTGGAAGTTAAACAACTTCCCTGAACTCGGTTCGGGGAACCAAGGAGCTTGCACTAATGGTACTGAGCAAAGTTTAGAGACCAACTCTAGCAAACCACCTCCTCGGAGATGATTGGAACTTTATTTAGACAAATTGACTAACACTTGAGGGAAGTGAATAACTCCTACAATAGGAATGTGGGGGTCCACGGACGTGGTCTCTGGTGATCTATTAGTAAACTTGGATGGAGCTACAGGACAGGCATGTTAGCTCTCTCTCTTTCTCTGCTTCTCCCTTTCTTTTGAATACATTAAAGGCAGAATTATGTGCAAGGCCAAAAAAAAAAAAAAGTGCCCTTATTATAAAGAAAAGTCTAACTTCCAGTTTTGTGAGGCATTACAAGACAAACCAGAGTTCTTTGGACTCGGGAGGGTAGGCGATGGCAGTCACACTTCAGAGGAAGACACGCTGCGTGGAAGACCTTTCCTTTTTAGTTTGGGGAAAACAGAAACTTGTGATGCGCTCACTGGAAAACAGACTGCATAATGGAGCAAGTCATGTGGATTGCCCAAAGCCTCTGAGAAATAAGGGAGCAATTTCTACTCTGGAGTTGATGGCTGTCTGAAATTCTATTCACAAATCCAAACAGAAACAAACCCTCAGGAGGTCAAAACTGTTTCCTGTACGTTTGCATAAGGGGCAGCTCGGAGACAACAGCCCTGATACCTGCTGATCAACTGAACGACTTCAACATGTTTTGTTTGGATTATGTTTATATATGATGCAGTTTGCTGACAAGCGCAGGCTAGGCCTGAGAAGCCAGCTTGTCAGTTTGATTTATGAGCATATCAAACGGTAACTTTCTACTCGCCACTCCAAACCTACCCTAGCAGTTCATTAATCAGGGGCCTGTGACTTTGAAATCTGTGCTCAACCAGGTTTTCTCTCCGTCTCCCTGCCCCCAACAATGGGCTAAATTTGCATGCATGTTCTCTGAGCTGTACAACTGAGAAAAATAAGGTTCCCTCACCAACTTGGATTCTCAGTGAATACAAGATAATCAGTACTTTGTCCACCACACAGCTGGCTCTTTGTACAGTGTGATTCATTAGTGACATTGGACGACAGTCAGCAATGGATTGTGACTCTCAAGTCCCGTGCTACAAAAAAGGAGAGCACGAGAGTCTCACTGTCACTGTTATTAAGCTCAGTAAAAATACAGAAGACTGCATCGTTGACAGCAAGAGCCTTGTTATAGGGAGATCTGAGACGATCCTCACCTCTCAAAGTACCTTCTCAAGCCCATGCTATTAGGTATCAATGCGATAACTAGATCCTACCTCTTTCGCTTGCTTGCCAGGATGCTGCGGCTGCTGCTGCTGCTGCTGCTGTTGCTGCTGCTGCTGTTGTTGCTGCTGTTGCTGTTGTTGCTGCTGCTGCTGCTGTTGCTGCTGCTGCTGTTGCTGCTGCTGCAAAAGCTGAAGATGTAACTGCTCCTGCTGTTTCTTGTAAAACTCTTGTAGTTGTTGCTGAATAAACCATTTTGACTTTAATAAATAAAGGCAAAAGTTTCATGTATCATCAATGTCCTAAACCCTACTAGCCTGACACATGGTAGAGTGGTCATTAAGATACACCTCACCACCCACCCCTCCCAAAAAGAAAAAATGCATCGGATTTAAAGAGACAGCGCTACATACTTTTTTTCCCAAGGCAGCTCTGAAAATTTCCAATCCAGAATCCAAACAATCCTAAACAAAAGGGTATAGAAAATCTGTATTCTAAAGGCCAGAACCAAAGTGAATACTCTAAATGACTACATCTGAAGTGCTCTACCCCTTAGAAGGATCAAGCATCACCGTCACCAAAGAAGGATGAAAACAGCTTCATCTATCAGAGGTTTTAACACAATGTCATGCTAGAAATCTATGTAGCCTGTAGGCCCAGTCAGAGGCAATAGTAAAGCTACTTATTAACTAACAACTCTGGTAAAAACACTTTATTTTCACCACAGAAAGCAAGTATCACCTTCTGAATCTATTTATAGATACTCAAGTCTTCAATAAGCTTCACTGTAGGCTCATTGTTTGTATTATCACAAAAACGAACTTGCTCTTATCTGCCCAGTTTTATTCTAATAAGCAGATTCCTCATTTTCACGTGATGACTAAACTTGGAAAGGAAAGCTTGGACGCAGCTTTTAGCATGCGCTGCGTGCAAAGTGGCCATTTCCTATTTATTGGAACTTAAGGGAAGGTTGCTAGTGTGCTGGGGCTTTAGATAACAACAATTCTGTGTATGCTGGTACACTCCTTAGCAAATCCAAAAGGAAATGTGCCTAAGAACCTGAATAATCAAATACAGATTCTTCTGTTTTCAACTTGCTCTTCTTTCTGCTCCTGTTCTAGATTTAGGTACAGGTGAAGAGAATGAGTAACTTAAGTCCTCTTATGCAGCTTTGCAGGCACAGCGTGACATTTCTGTTCTGACATGCTGCTAAGTTGCTTCTGTATGTGGAGACCGCAATATGTAATAAGCCCAGCACACTGCCAGCAGCGTGTTTCCCCTTCAGCAGGACTAGAACACCAGAGCAGGTAACATACATTACCTGCTGTAGCATCACTGCCTGCTGCTGCTGGAGGAGGGCTTGGAGCTGCTGAGGAGACAGGACCTGCTGCTGAAGAATCTGTTGCATCTGCTGAGGGGTGATCACCTGGGGCGTCATCATGGCCACTGACACGGGGACCTTGCATGGAGAGAGAGCGAAAGGGCTGTCACAATCCAGTGCCTGCTGGTCTTTGCACAACGGTATGACATTGTTTGTAAGTTATTGAGCACCAAGGGCCCTAAATGGTATGCATTTTCTGTTGTGTAACTTTGTGTTACTTTGAAAATAGTTTTGCAGAAGCAGCAGATTTCACCAGGCTCCCACTTGAAGTTCCATGTTTCAAATGTACGTGCACAAAGGAGTGGGAACTCTGGACAATAGAGGAGAAAATAAATAATTTCGTGGCAGTGGTCTCAGAAGTTCATCATTAAGTCTCTTTTCAATGTCTCATTGCTGTAACTGAAAACCTTTTGAAATATTTTAAGCATATCATTAAAATAAAAAAGCTAAATAATAAAAATTATGCATAAGAATACCTGATATTTATAGCTGTACAAAACATATATAGAGAACATACTTATATAACTTAATCATAATAAAAATTATATGCAAATTTATAATTCTTATAAATACATATACTGAATGAAATGGCTGAGTAGGTAAAGTTGCTGGTTTCCAAGCCCAATTATTGGAGTTTGTTCCAAAACCTGGAATAAAAGAATTAACACCTATAAGTTGTCCTCTGACCTCCAAGTGAATGCATCACACACACACACACACGCACACGCACACACACACACACACACAGAGGCACACATACATAACAGCATAAATAAATGTAAATTAAAAAGATAAAATTTAACAATAAATATAAATAAATTACTGTAGTAACTGATATAATTTTTTTCTTGATAAGAGTTAATATAGATGGCTGGGCAGTGGTGGCGCACGCCTTTAATCCCAGCATTTGGGAGGCAGAGGCAGGCGGATCTCTGTGAGTTCGAGGCCAGCCTGGTCTACAAGAGCTAGTTTCAGGACAGGCACCAAAAACTACAGAGAAACCCTGTCTCAAAAATAAAAAAAAAAGAATTAATATAGATGAGAATATCTGAGGAGACTCGTTCAGTAAAAGGCAGAATAATAAGGCTAATAACAGTCTAGTGTTAAACATTTTCTTATGGTAAGCAATTAAAGTTATACTAGAAAGTCCAGAAATCTAAAGATTACTCTAAGAATTTCCATTGGATTTATAACAAAGCGAAAACATTTTGTTTAAAGTTCCTTCTCACTTCTATTTTTTCTAAAAGTTCCTGAGGATGGAAGAGAAAAAGTGGGATATGGGAGGCAGAGGAAGATACCTGGAGAAAAGAAGGAAGGGAGAAAAACAGCAGATAAGCAAAAGCATTGGGGAGAACATTCTAGAGAAAGAAAAGATTTCTGGAGAAACGGGAGCGGGATCGCAGAGAAACACAGGAAAGGCTTGGTCCTCCGAGGCGCATGCTCAGAGCAGTGCGAGTCTCTGCACCAATCAGCATCCCGTCAAACGACACGTCACCTGGCCGCCTGCAACCTTGGGAAAACATTCACATTGCTTTCCAGCAAAACAAACAAAAGCAATGTACTTTTACTGTAAAGAAAAGCTACTATTTACATAAAGATTTCTTTGGAACATGTTTATGGGACAAACTATCTTCGAAAACAGAAAAAGGCACAGTTCACAATTTATTTTAACGGTAATTTTTATGTGGTTCAAAATTTCCTGACACTTGCCAATAAAAAAAAATTGAGAAATTATTAGTAAAAAAGAGGCTGTATGTGGAAATAAAGGAAAAGAAAAGAGTTCCAGGGTTAATTTTTCTACTTCAAACAATACAACTAAGTAAGCAAACAAACAAAAAATAGTTACATTTTTAACACTAAAAAATAGCTATGTCTCCTACTTTTCCACAATGATAAAGAAATACAGCGAATTTGGTTTAATTTTCTAACATGTGAGAAAAACTAGGGGCCAAAAGCAACTCAGCGATTTTCAAAAATATTTCTAAATTTAAATATGGATATACATATGGATCATTATATATCAATTCATCATAGTTAGTATCAGCCTGAATATGTGATGTAAAGTCAGCCAACTGGAGGTTGAGAAAGGAAAATCGGGGGCTTTAGGCCTCGGTCAGGGCCCGTCTTTATAAATAAGAGTAACTGATCACATTATGTATTTCTGAATATTTGGTTATTTAAAAAGTTAAAGAGCTGTGACTTTAATCACTTGTTCTTTGATAAACAAATAGAATGAATAAAATAAGTGTGTGTGTATATATATATATATATATATATATGAAAAATTCAAGCTACAGAACTGTGTCCTTTTCAATAATCATTCACTTCTTGTCTCTCCCAGACGTGAGGAGGAAATTAGCAACTCGGGGACAGAGGAAGACATGGTAGAGCTTCATTTCAAGAGTGCCAGTGCTGATAGATTAGATGGAAGACTGCAGAAAGACAGAAGATAAAGCAGGAAGGAGGGAAGAGGAAGGGGGCATGTTCGTATGAAACACACAGGTCTACTCATAGCTACCTTTGTGAGAATGTGCACATTCCGGGAAGGTGACCAGTTCTTGAGAATCTTCCTGTCTTTCTTTCCTGACAGTCTCTGGTTACTATTCAGTAGTCATTTGGCTATCTCTTTTCACTTAAGTGTCTATATTTTCAAGTAAACGTGCTCTGTGCATAACTCTCACAAGTGAACTTTCTAGGGCAAACCTATAAATGGGCCTGCCAGAGTGTTCCAAAGCTCACAGTGAGGTTCCAGCCGCTACATAAGATAGGATGTTGCAGTTCCATGCTATTGTGACTGACTTAGTATTTGGGCAAAGTAAACTGTCTGCTGTCACTATAATTCTGAAGCTTATCAATCAGTTCTCTCACTATACGGAATAATTTAATTTTATTTTTAAGCCTTTAAGGATTTGTGAGTACCTTACAGAGGGCTATGGCACAAAGTGTCTGCCACATCATGGCCATGCTGAAGTTACACAAGCACAGCTCACATGTATGTGGCACATTCACATTGTAATCAGACTCTGGCCTTCTGTGAAAAACTACCGTCTGAAATAGATAAAAAAGATTTTGGAAAGATAAACCAACTAACACACAACTAATTGAACTCTCTTTGTCCCCAGATATATACCAAAATCCATCATAAAGGTCATAATAGAGATAGGAAAACATATCTGAAGGATTTCTAATATTTATGAAAGCTGATACTATCATCTAAGTCCATATATAAACAGACACACTCAATGAAACCAACCAAACATCCAACAAACTAAGCAACCAAAGAACTGTGACTATCAATTTTATTTTGTATTTAGACTTCTCAGTATCCTTATGTAAATTTATATAATTTTCAAAATTCGAAATGTCTCCATTTCTATGATTAATTTTACATGACTCACTTTCTGTATTATCCTTTTTACAGTTCGCTTACTATAGGACTGTGTGTTTTCGCCACCAGGAATTACCTAGGAATTCCTTGACACGAAATAAGAGCAATTCCTTGAGTGCATATAAAAATCTTGCTACTACACTAGTCATTAATATTCAGAAAAAATAGTATCAGATTTAAAAGTTCTGGATTAACACATAGCTTTGGATAACGCCAGAGGAATGCATGTAGCTTTTCAGCTTAGTGTTAAAGAACCCACATTTTCTACTAGTGATAAAACTTGACGCATGCAAACCTTCCAATGACTGACTAGTATTTAGATGTGTGGCAGAGGTGAGGAGGAAATTCTTGGACGCTTTTTGACAGAGAGGCAAAACAAAGACCAATGGGCATACCTCAGTGAGTAATCCAGTAAATACTGATGTTGCTAGTCAAGTTTTTTGTGAGTTAAGGAAAGTAAACAGCCCACATATCTGGGGACATTTCCCTTTTTCTCTTACCATGTGCTTACTCTATTGGCAGGTCTAAAGCTTACTGAGATGTACCAAACATGGAATCCCATTTATCTTTATTTTGTCATCAGATAAATTAAGCAAAATCTTAATGCTTTGATCTGCATACCAGTAACAGCTAGATAACTGAAAACCAAGATATGGTGATGAACACTGATGAGAACAGAAAAATTCTGAGATTGTCTTGAGATGAGTCAAATGGTAAAAGGAAGGTATAGGCATTATTCTCCAACAGGTATGCGATAACTTTAGGTTACTTAAAAGCACATATATGATAAATATATTTGTGGATTTTTATGCTCCTCTTTGAAGGGGTCAGAGAACTATTGGACAGACACACTGCCAAGACCATGTCTCTCTTCTAATGAATCTAAAAAGTGAGCGTGGAAGTCATAAAAATGCATGCAAAAATTGTTTGACAAAATCATCCTGCCTTATTACAACCGAGTTTAATAGCAGCATTTCTGGAAGTGTTGGGTTAGCACTTTAAGTGCATCACTTAATTAAACATCCCAATTATGTGTGGGTGATTGAAAAGGTTTTCAGCATGATGTCAGTCCAATTCTTTAATAAATGGGAGATGGAAAATGTAGTCCCAACCTGTAGATGAGATTTACAGTGGAAATCATCGTGTCTGTGTTAGAGTGCCCACTACCTACTAGCTCACGGGCCCTTTATTGTCTGCTTCAGATATTCAGACAAAGGGAGTCTGACCTGTCTGCCTCAGCACTTTCAAAACATGCGAAGACTTGTGTAATCAATGCAAAACGATATTCACATTACAGTTCTGTTCCGATCATAATAAATGAGGGTAGGTAATGTCTGATTTCTCCTTCTTGATCAATGCTTTCTGTTCTCTCCTGATTTACATGTGCAGGTTACTGCCACAGAAGAAACAATCGCACTGAATTGACAGGTTTGGTCCAGATTCCAGGCGTGGTTGCAGGTATAATGTCTATTATAATAATAGCTTTCCAAAACCTTTTGGTTTTGTAGTATTCAAAAGAGCTGACAATGAGCTGAGGGGTATTTGCAAGCTTTTATCAAGTCCTGAGCAGAGTGTTTAAAGAGATCTGGGACAGACAGTGCATATTGCTATTTAATGCAGTCTCTCAGCAGCAGGGAAAGTGTGAGAGGGACAACAGAAAGAGAAGCAGGGTGCAGTCTAGGCTGGGAGA